AAAAATTGTAAGAAATACAAATACATCGTAGAAATACAAAGTAGTAGATTGTATATAATTTGTAGACAAATTGTAATTAATTTGTAGATTGTAGATAATTTGTAGATATAATTGTATATACGTTGTAGATAAATTGTAGATAAACTATTTTATGATTGTAAATATTTTTATTGCTGTTTGTTATGTAATTCTAGGTGAGGGCTTCAACAGATCAAATCCATACTGTGATAGATGGTGTGAAGCGTTACATGAATCCTACATTATAACTACTATTAACTACAAAAACTCTACAATTATGTATAAACCCAGTTCTACAATTCAAACAAATTTACCTACAGTTTACCTACAGTGAATGTACAAATTACCTACAATTTAAGTACCTAATATAAGAATAACTACAATTTACCTACAGTTACAGGGCAAACAGGAAACACATCATCCACAATCATGTCTACATTATATCTACATTTTAGACTACAATTAATCTTGGAATGTTCTACATAAACTAAAAACTAACTACAACTACACTACAAACAGTAAATCTAGATGAGGGCTTCAACAGATCATATCCATTACACTAAATCTATAATTACACTACAATTACACTACAATTACACTGCAATTACACTACAAATACACGAGAAACAGTAAATCCAGAAGAGGGAATTTTGTTTGGTACCCCAAAAAAAACTACTAAAGTGTATATGTTGTCATTGTTTTGCTAGTTCGTGGCGTATTAAAATGTTTGTTGCAACTTTTGATTTCATGTAGACTTTCAGAAAATCAGATCACATGCCACAATTGTGGCAGAGGAAATTGGCACGACATTCAAATATAATGAGATTTCGCTGGCTAATGCATCTCAAGGACATCTTTCGTTGATTGATCTTGCAATCGTGGATGAAGAACAAGAAATAATGTGGGGTATGGGTAAAAACGTGGGGTGAGGGGGTGAGGGGTAAGGAGAGAGAAACGTGAGATATATGGATACCTTTAATTAAGGAGTAAAAACTGCCCATTAATTAGATATGGATACCTTTAATTAAGGAGTAAAAATAGCCCATTAATTAGACCCTTAATTAAGTATGGTATAGGATTGGTAATTTGGTATACTAAGTGTAATTTACTCAAACCTTAAACATGTAGGGTAAAAAGGTTTCCTATGTGGTATAGGAATGTAAAAATTCTTAAATTTAATCCCAAAAATGTATACAAAAATAACACACCTAAGACCTTAAACCCAATGGCCCTTAAGTATAGTGTCTTATCATTCTAATTTTAGGCTCTCTTTTTGGTCCTCAAAAAAGGAAAAATAATGGAAAAGGAAAAAGTGGAGCAAAAGAAAAGGAAAAAAAGGGAGGAAAAAAAGGAAGTATTTGACTTGCTTTATTGACAATTCTCTCCATAATTCATCGTCATTATTTAAATAAATCAAATATTTACATTTTTATTGCCTTTTTTAGATTTATAAACTTGAACTTTAGCAATTGTTAAGAATTTCCGAGTCTTTTAAAAAGCAAATGCTTAAAATAAATAAATATGGTTGTGGAATGCCGTGTAAGTTGAGCTTGACCAAAATCACACATTTAATCACATGTATATTTATAGTGACATACACAAAAATTGCTTTAGTGATATCGATGTAGTGTTTCAATTTAGACTTGTAAATAGAGGCGGACCTATGCGGGTAGAAGAGGGGTCACTGAACCTTGTTAACTTCGGCAAAAGAACTCGACCCTATGGTCCTAGCGCTTCGTGTTCTTATATATATACGGCTACACCTATACACACACACACACATACCACATACACTCTTCATTGTAATACTTTAACTATAAATAGCTTGTTATAGTATATGTTAGTGTATTCATAGTTTGTATTACAAAATAAAGTGATAACGGATTACATTTATAATATTTAGATAGTAAATATAAAAGTGATTCAAAAGTTTGACCAATGTTGCCCTAATAACCGGCCAACTTTGGTCGGTTATTTTCCAGGAAATAAAATATACCGACCAAAGTTGGTCGGTAAATGCTTCCCCTGCATTACTGATCAGCTTTGGTCAGTAATTTAAATATAAATTCTTTAAATTTTATAAAATATTTTAAATAATAATATAATTATTGAAATTTAAAAAATTGGGTCCACATTACCGACCAAAGTTGGTTGGTAATCAAAAAACTTTGACTAAGCAAGTCTGACCAGCTCGGTCAAATGTAATTTTAAAAAATGTAAAATATTTTTTTTGTTGTTTCCGTCCATGTTGGACAGTTTTTTGGTCGCTTTTTTTGACCGACCAACGTTGGTCGGTAAAGCTTGATCGATTTTTAGCGAATTTCTAGTAGTGTGTTCGCTCATGTGCTCCTGCCACATTCAAATTATGGATCTGCCTCTATTTGTAAAGAAGTTTAAAATCGGGTTATAATAGTTTTACTTCAATGTTTTTTTTGGTTATGCACGTCATAAAGTGTAACATACACATTTTTGATCTTGTTGAAGTATTATTATAATAGTACTAAAACTTCAAAAATTAGTTGGTAAGGGACAAAAGTAGCTTTACTTACGTACGTCTTATATAAAGTTATAAACTACACAATGTAAAATTAGCTTATCAATTTTAATTTTAATAGTTTTATTCGGTAAAAGGAAATATCATAGCACAATTTTTTAATAAATTGTTGCTGAGCACTTGATTCTAGTTAATTAAGATCTCTAAGACTTTTCACTATACATATAAATTATTACTAATATTTTCTCCTATATGGATGTAATTAGTATATTAAAATATAAAATGAAAGAGAAAATAATATAAGGACAAAATGATTGAATTTTTTTTAATGAAAAAGTTATATTGGCAGATAAATTTACAAGCAATATATAATGAAAAAAATGACAACTATAGNAATATAAAAATGCACTTGGCATTTGCATTTAGAATTTAATTTTACATTTTAGGATTATTAGTAGTTGATTTACTTTTAGGAAAAGAAAATGACAAAATGGGCCCTTCTGCTATTTTTAGTTTTAATTTGTTTTAGTTTGCATTTAATTAGGGAATTTGTGTAATTGGAAATTTGGATGTGTAATTTTAGAGGCAATTTGAGTTTTGGTTTTTAATTTAGCATTTAACAAAATCAAGAAAACAAAATACAATAGAAAGAAAAAATTAAGTTTTACCAATTTTAATGCGCCAAATTAGCAAATTCCAACAATCTTTATTCTTAATCTTATCCAAATCTACTTAGGAAATGAAGTAAACTTAGAAATTAACTATACACTATTGAGAATTTTCCTTTATCTTCCTTTCAAAATTCTTCAACATTCTTTAAGATGAATATTAACTTTGCATTTTTGGCCATTTTCCTTGTTATATTTTTCAGCTTGGATTTTGTTCATGGTTTGTCTGTGAAAAAAGTGATTGATTCTCCTCTTTTAACAGAGAAGATTGACACCAATCGTACAATAATAGTAGATGTTAATGGCCAAGGGAATTTTAAATCTGTTCAAGCTGCAATTAATTCAGTTCCAGATGGGAATTCTGATTGGATTATTATCCATGTTAGAAAAGGGACATATAGGTATATTGTTCTATTTTTTTTTATTTTTTTAAATAATATTTTATGCACACCTCTGACTATTTCGCTAGATATCTCTGATTATTTCACTGGATATTGTTAGGATAACTCTGTACATCAAACCTTGCACATATAAAAAAGATCTACTAGCGTTTGCATTGGCATTTGAACCCTTTATCTATAAGGGCGGAGCTAGCATACGACTTACGGGTTCAGTTGAATTCAATAGCTTTGATGCAAACCTCATATTTTTCTAAAGAACGGTCAAATTACCATTTTTCCTTCAAAAATTAAATTAACTTTATTGAATATTTATATATTATTAATTTAGAACCCAATAATTTAAAAGTACTAAAATTCCGACCCCATAAATTTCAAATGCTAGCTCCGTCTCTGCTTGTCTACCATAATTTTTGCTTACTTCATTAATCATTATAGATCACACCCTTGGGTGCAAAATTACTTTATATTCTTCATACCTTTTGTTTTAAATCTGCCATGAGGCCGAATATTATAACTAGCTACAGCAACCCGTTTGCACAAAATATCTCGCATTCATACAGGGTCGGAAAAAATAACATACGTCATCAAAAGGTGTGATGTAGACAATCTACCTTAATGCACGTATTAGTGACTATTTTTACGGCTTGAACTCGTGACCTATAGGTCACGTGAAGACACCTTTACCATTGCCCCAAGGCTCCCTTCGAATAGTATAACTAGTAAATTAATGTCTAAAAGGAAATGAAAGAAACTTGTCCCTTAATTATCATATTAAAACACAAATATAGAACTAGTTATCAATTTGTTCGAGATTGTGTTTTATATATATTTTTGCAGAGAAAAAGTCCATGTACCAACAAAGAAACCCTACATTTTCATGAGAGGCAATGGAAAAGGTAGGACATCAATTGTATGGGCAGAAAGTTCCACAGACAACTCCAAATCTGCAACTTTCAGAGTTGAAGCTCCTAATTTCGTTGCCTTTGGCATTAGTTTCAAGGTATAATAATTTAATTTCCTATCCATCCTCATATTATATTCTTTAACTTTTTTATACCATCATACTACTTTATTAAACATTTAGCGAATATTTGTCATGCATGCTTATAATATTTACTCTGTCCGTATCAGGGGCGAAGCTATGCTCTTCTAAGGGTGGTTTATTGACCATACTTCGTTAAAAAATTATACTGTATATATAGGTAAAATGTTAGATTTTAGAGGCATATAACATATATTGAACACCTTTGACGGGGAATTTTTTTTCTTCTTTTAAGTTTGAACACCCTTGGAAAAATTTCTGGCTTCGCCACTGGTCCGTATGTGCGTTAAGCACTTGAGTTTGAGCTAAAATATCAAGCTTAATGTATGTTTGATATGATGAAAGTCATTTTTATAGAAAATATTAAAGATTGATAATAATATTAGCAAAATAAATAGTTTTATGATGAAAATTTTGCGTTCTAATTAAAAATTGTCAATAATGCCTAGCTAAGTCCTGGTTGAAGCAAGAAATACGAAATTAAAAGTTAAAATTGTTGTAAGAAAAGTAGCTTCCGTCCATAAGCGACGGAAGTTATTTTATATCTCTTTTGATTGAAAATGTTTTCCTTGAAAAAACATGTTTGATAACCAAGTATCAGAAAATAAATTCCTATGTGAAAATTAATATACTCTATTTTATGAAAAATAACTTCCATCATATCAAACACATATATCTGAATCTAATTTAGGACAGCTCGATACATGAAGTATTCCACGTTCATGCAGGGTGGGAAAAAGGTATCGCACCCACGGAGTGTGTGGCAGCCTACCTAACCTATCTTATCTAATAAATAAATGTGTTGTTACTAGGGGTGACAAATGGGCGGGTTGAGCTGAATTTGGCTGGGTCAAGATGGTTAGGTCAATAAATGGGTCATTGCCCAACCCAGCCCAGCCCAAAGTGTACTTGGGCTAAGATGGACTGGGTCAAGATGGGCTAAATAATGGGTTATTACCCAATCCGCCCAACTTGACCCATGTTTTAGAACCATGCTCATCTTGCGTAAAAAAGCCTTTTACCTTAAAATATGTAAGTCGAAAAATATTTTGCGGGTGGGGTTTGGGGGGTGGGGGGTTGGGGTGGGTGGGTGGTGCAGAAAAACGAAAAAACAGAAAACAGAAAATTAAAAATACAAACAAAAAGTTTATAAAAAATTGAGGGGGTTTGCGCGGGGTGGTGGGTGGTGGGTAGGGTGGTGTAGAAAAAAAAACAGAAAATTAAAAATACAAAAAGGTTTGGAGGGGGGAGGTAGGATGGGTGGATGGTGCAGAAAAACAAAAGAACAGAAAATTAAAATACAAAAAAAAAAAAAAAAAAAAGTAAAATTGGGGCAACTAAGTAAATTTCTGGATAAGTTGGGTTGAGATCTCTTTGTTTTGGGTGAGTTTCATGGGTTGTATTTGGGCTACTTAATGGGTCAAAATGAGCTATAAAAAATAATTGATTAACTTGGGGTCAGCCCAAATTGACTCATGAGCTAAAATGTTTGTAGCCCAACCCATTAATCTCTAGGCGGGTTGGACGGGTTGAATGGGTTCGGGCTCAAATTGCCACCTAATTGTTACACTGACATATTTTGAAAATTCTTCTAATTTTGCTAATTGTGAACTTGATTTTTTGCTAGAATCAAGCACTAAATGGTGTAACTTCTACCTCACAAAACAAATCATCAGTAGCAGCTTTGGTTGGAGCAGACAAAGTTGCCTTCTATCATTGTGCATTTTTGAGCTCTCACAACACTCTCTTTGACTATAAAGGCAGACACTATTATGATGATTGTTACATTCAAGGTTCCATAGATTTCATCTTTGGCCGTGGCCAATCTTTATTTCATGTGAGTTCCAACCTTTGCTTTGTGCTCATCAATTTTTAACTTATATACATTGACAGTATAATTAATTTTTACATTATTATATTTTAATCTGTTTATAACAGGTAACCTATTTATAATTATCTTTTAAGTTACCTAATAATATTCTTTTGTAAGGTGAGTTTGTCAGTGTATAGAGATCAGAGGCGGATCTATGGCTTATGTTGAGGGGTCACCGGACCCCGTAAACTTCGACAAAAAACTTGTATATGCATATGTGTACACCTCGAAAATGATTAATTTAAATCACTTGGCACCCTTAACGCTAAAAGCCTTTAGGGGGCACTGATTGAACATAATATTATGCTCCTCCCGTCATATTAAATTCCTGGATCCGCCTGTAGATAGAGATTGAAATTAGTTAAAATAGAATATACATTTGATTTAGTTTTTTCCCCTTTTTTTGTAAAACGATAAAAATAAATTTTTTTGTTTGTTATTGGGTGTGTGAACAAAGTCCGACATTGGTAGCCGAACATATAAAATGTGTGATTCTTTTAATGGTACGAGGCCTTTTGGAGAAAAATGGTGCGGACTTATCCAAAGCAGACAATATCACACGCATATTAGTTCAGCCCAACAACAAAAATGTGAGATATTTAGATGACACTGATTAATTTAGGATACTTTTTATGCCATCAATATGTAGAACTTAAACTCATTACCTTTTGCGTAGCCGTCAGTGTATAAACGTTAAACTCATTTAAAAGTCAATGCTTGCAAAATGATGCTGAAAATATTATATCTGCATTGACATTTGATTTTTTTTTTCTTATTCTTTTTGGTGAAAATATTGCAGAGCTGTGAGATATTTGTAATTGCAGATAGAAGGGTAGAGATTGAGGGTTCAGTGACAGCACAAAGTAGATATAGTGCCAAAGAAAACAGTGGTTTTGTGTTTGTAGAAGGAAAGGTGTATGGAATTGGAGGTGTGTACTTAGGAAGAGCCAAAGGGGCTTATTCCAGGGTCATTTTTGCACATACTTACTTGTCTAAGACAATTGTACCTCAAGGTTGGACTAATTGGAGCTCTCCAGGATCAACAAAGTAAGATAAACTTTTCATATCTAAAAATTGAGATTTTTTTATTAGATTAATAAGCTTACGACCGCTGAACAAACTTACTTGGTAATGGACGAATATATATAATTTACGAGCCGCTAATCTAGTGGCTGGTTGTTTCCGCTTGCATCCAGTTCGGTGCACTAAGCTACCGCCATGCACGGGGTTAGGGAAAGGACCGGACCACAAGGGTATATTGCATACTGTCTTACCCTGCATTTCTTCAAGAGGCTGTTTCCACAGCTCGAACCTTATGCCAAAGCTCCCCTTCCTTGATTCCGCTTGCATCAATTTTGAACAAAATGACGACTAATGGCTTGATCGGTTGTTATCGTTCCTATTCATAAGTGGATCAGGATTTAAACTTTATGGGTTCAACCTTTAAGATTTTTTGCATTGAACCCATTATATTGTTAAAGTTATAAGTTCATATCAACTATTTATTGTAATTTTAGTAAATTTTTACACCTAAATTGTTGTTTCATGTCGAAAGTAGTGGGTTCAGATGAACTCAGTACCAAAGAGCTCGCTACACCCCTGCTCCTGTTATAAGATTCTCTCGTCCAGAAACCTAAGTCTTATATGCTTTTGCTAAGTTAGAACATATTAAAGGGCAGCATGGTGCACTAAGCTCCCGCTATTCGTGGGGTCCGGAAAAGGGTCGGACTACAAGGGTCGGACACGAAGGGTAAATATATATGAAAATTTACTAAAATTTTAAATTTTTAACCTATAATTTCGAATAGTTCAATGATAAGAATATAAATATTGAATCCATTAAATTTGAATTCTGAACCCAACTAATTCCAATAATGTAACTTGGTGCAGGAATTTATATCATGCTGAATACAAGTGCTATGGACCAGGGTCTGGTACAGAAGGTCGTGCCCCATGGTCAAAGCAATTGAATGACAAAGAAGCCATGCCATTCCTCTCCGTAAATTTCATCCAAGGCAAAGAATGGCTCCTAGCTTGGCTTTAAAATTGATTATTTTTGAAGATTACAAATTCTCTTTTTCTTCTTCACACCAGAGACTTTAATTTGCCTCTTTGGAATGATAAGATAGACGAATATATATTAGTTAATCATACTATTTATTAGCCATGAAGTGCATCTTGTGTTAATTATGATGCCTCTGGCTAAACCTTTTTGTTATTGAAACAGTTAGTGTAAAGTTTCACACTGAATATATAGTGAATAATTACACATCTATGGTTATAGTTACAGTTACTTAATGTATTATTTTGATGTTTTTTGTGTTCCAAAAAGAAAGGTGCAAATTTTAAGCTCTGCACGTCTAATTCAAGAAAAGTGGGGAAAGTAAGAGAAACCCTAGATAATCATGCTCCCTCTGTTCGAGTTTATGTTAACCTATTTCCTTTTTGGTCCGTTCCAAAAAGAATGACACCTTTCTAAATTTGGTAATATTTTTTGTTAAACTTACAATTCTACTATTAATGAGAAGCTTTTATAACTACACAAATACTCTGGGCCCCTTTTTGATTTGTTTAGGACCACAAGTCCCAAAAGTCTTCATTTTTTCTAAAACTTCGTGCCCAGTCTAACAGGTTCACGTAAATTGAAATGGAGGGAGTATATAATCTATCTATACTGGCTAGGAAAAGTAAATAGTGAATCCAATTGATTATTTGTGTAAACGGTGAATCTATGTGTTTTATATGCTTTTATTGGATTAAGGGGGGGGGGGGGGGGGGTAGAGGGGAAATATTAGAAATAGTTAGATTTACAACTGACAATTCAAAAATATCCACAGTTTCAAAAGTAATCAAAATTTAGTCACTTTTTCATGTAAAGATAAAATCTGAACAAAATACCTTTAAAAATTCAGAAAAATTTGGAGTTCGAATTTTTTACATATGAGGTTCTAGCATAATGTACTGGAGTTCCAACATAATATGCTCTAAGTTTATACGTAGGAGCTCCATAATCCAGCATATTATGCTGGAACTTTCCGTATGCTGGAGTTCCAATATAATATGCTGGAAGTTTATATGCAGGAGCTCCATAATCCATGTTGGAACTTTTCATGTTTCAGCAAAATAGTTGTTATTTTTCAATAATTTTACAAACACTGGCTATTTTTTAATTATTTGTCCGAAAACTGGCTATCCCATAGCTATTTTAAGGAAAATATCCTATTTTTGATCAATTTTTAGCATTACACCTCAAAGTCAAACAATAGTCCAAGACAGCTTTTCAAAGCCCAAATACCAGATCCGGCCCAATGAATCTTAGGGCTCCAATTACAATGGTAAACACTTTCTTCTCCACTCTCCAAAACTGAAACAGAATCTGAAAGTCAAAGCAAAATAAAGTAAAAATGGAAGCAGGAGATGAAGCACTAGAGATGGTGGACTCAAAGGATTTGCAGCAGCAAAGCAAAGCCCTTGATAAGCTCACTGACCATGTCGAAGATCGTCAGCTCGATTCCTCTCGTGTTCAAACGGTACTGTTTTTCACATCAAAATTCATTTTTTTACACGAATAGATGCAATTTCGAATTTGCTTCAGTATATATATTTTTTGTATTTATTGACATTTTTTGGCTCAATTTTTAATGCTGAAAAATTGTCTTTAGGCTATGGCTTCAATTTATGCATCCAAGGAAGCTGATCTTCAAGCTATGAGGATGAGGTTTGTTCACTAATTAACGGAAATTTGCACTTTTAGTCCCTGAAATATTAACAAATTTTGATTTTAGTCCTGATATCTGATATTAAGTATATTTAACTTTCAATTAACCATAATGTACACTTTTGATGGATCCCTCTGCTTTTGAACTTTCACAAATTTAACGAATTATTAACTGTTAAACCATTCAGTTAACCGTGTGCTATGTTAAATTTGTTCTATTATTTCTTATTTGAGGGCAATATTGCTCTGAAAATAACCTAAATGTAACATACTGTATAAAAGACAAAACACACACATTTTATTTACTTTAAGGTTAAACATACTAAGCCAAATATAACAAGGATCAGAAGCTGAATTTTGTCAATAATCAAAGGATCAAAAGCACATTTATTCCTTCATTTAACTATATTATTCTCAAATATTTTACCTATAAAACTTTGATATATATATATATATATATATATAGTAATTTAGTTGCTTGTGCTAATGAATGAGTATCGTGAGAATTACTATTTGGAGAGTCAAATAGTAAGTTTCCTTAACAAAGACCATTTTAAATATTTCTTAATAGTAGTATCTTTTATATAGATCATAACCATGTAAATTATATTTTAAAATTGATGCACTAATAATTAGGCTGTAGCCTTTTCAAATCTTGGTAGTTGGGAAGTTGGTGGATGGGTTTGACTCTTAAGTCTTAAATAGTTTCTGTAACTCAGAAACAAATACAAGCATCACATCATCTAAGCTTTGAAGTACATTCAGAAGTTATTTCCTCTTTTTTTAAATAAGATTTACATATTTAGAAATTATAGTATTATAGTTTTATAATTAAAACAGTAAGACTTTTTTGTAATCATAGATCAAATAATTGTTTGATAGAGGCTGTTTAATGATATGATGATTGCTGTTAATCACTAAATCTCTTGTGTTAATCATACCCAAAATTCTTGTTTGTTTATATGAAAGGTGTTTGTACTGTGCATTGAGTTGAATTTGTTGCTTCATGAGAGTTGAAGAGTGTTTGACTATTTGGTAAGGTGAAGTTGCAATTCTCAAGTTCTTACGCGAAATTTGGGAAGCATTGCTTGTAAATTCCAATTTGGGTAACCTTATTATATAGATGAGCTTGAAGTCCACAAGTTTTTCCACATGGCCTTAGTTGATAACTTGATATGTGCAAGGGACTATGACTTAATCCAAATAAATAATTGAATTTGTTTGAGATGTCTTCTCATACTTATAATACGTGCATTGGAGGGAAATTAAGAGCTACTCAATCATGGAAATAACAAAATAGTGAATATGAGCTCATTTGTTTCAAGTACGATACTCAAACTGAAAATGATAAGAGTGACAGAATGGTAGTGCCACAATCCACTAAGATTTAGTCTGTTGTCTCTCGGATCCGCAAAGGGAAAAAGACATATTAGACACAAGTATATGACATTCATATAAACAGCAATATTTTTTTGATGAAGTCATATAAACATCGATATTACCTTTCCATATGTGTGCTTAGCTCTTGAATCTATTTCCGTGTCTTTTTCCTGCTCTGATAATGTCTCTAATGCTTCTTGTGAAGTCTCAGTCCTTGATAAATTAGATGACATCAAGAATTTGTGTTTATTACAGGGAAAAGGAACTAGCTGCTGTTAAGATCAATGCTGCTGATATTGATATAATTGCAAATGAACTAGAGGTTGGTTTCCTCTTACATCTATACCTATTGTTTTCTGTTGGTTTATTTTAAGTCTCTCATGAGTCGTGGTGTTTTAATTGTGGAATAGGTGGACAAGAAGGTTGCTGAAAGGACTTTGAGAGAACATAAAGGTGATGCTGTAGCTGCAATAAGGCATTTGCTGAATTAATGTAATGCAAAAGATAAGAGAATCAGTACCCGAAATTTTTGTTTTCATTCCGAAATGTATTAACAAAGAGACTATGAAATGCTTATGCTACGTCGATTGGTCATTGCTAATACTGAAGTGAAAAATTAAACGTGTGAGATAGTGAGCAAGTTCGAGGGAAATCTTGGTTTTCTTAGGACTTGATCTCTAAGGTTGCCCTTTTTCCATTCCATATTCAGCTCTTGGAATAGAGCTATCCAAAATGTTGTGAAGTATATGTGAAATTACTTACGGGTATGACCTAGCGATTAATAAAGTAGGTCAATACCATGGGAAAACAAGTTCAAATTGCAGCAGAGATAAATAATGCTTGGTGGGACTTTTCCATTTCCATAAGCCATAATAGGCAGATTTACTCGGTGCTTGTACTGGTGTAAGGAAGCAGGTCTCTAGCGATAGTCAAGTTGCTTGACTCGAACAAAAAAGAAAGAAAAGCAGAAAACGGTTAAAATAGCACGGTATAGCCAGTTTTCGGACTGGTCATTCAAAAATAGCCAGCGTTTACCAAGTCAATGAGAAATAGCCACTATTTTGCTGCAGCAGAGACCGGTCCAGCATAATATACTGGAGTTCGGTGCACCTATGTATGAACTCCAGCATATTATGCTGGACCGGTATACTTTGCAGGCTCCAGTATAATATACTGGAGCACCGGTGCTCCAAACTCCAGTATATTATGCTGGACCGGTATACTTGCTGGAACTCCAGTATATTATGCTGGAGTTCTAGTGTACTTATGCTGGAACTCCATCATATTACTTATCTTGGAACTCCAGTATAATATGCTGGAGTTCAAGTATACTTATGCTGGAACTCCAGCATAATATACTGACGTATTTTTTCGGGTTTTTGAACAGTGTTTTCGCTCAGATTTTTCTTTATATTAAAAGTGACTAAATTTCGATTACTTTTGAAACTGGACTATTTTTGAACGACCAGTTGTAAATCTGGCTATTTTTTAATTTCACCCCAGAAAACGTATACTGAAGCCCCAAATGCATTAGGTTGGTACTTTTGAGGATGAGTCTTTGTTACAGACTCGACCTCGCTAAACTTCAATGAGACTAAAAAATAGTACTATCACTTAGTTGGCTACTGCCTTGTGTGGTGTCCCTAGACAAACCGAATTTAAGGTTGCATTCAAAGGAGCAACAGCAAGATCAGAAAATCAATAACTTCTAAGACTTAAATGTACTAACTTGAACACTAATTTTTCATTCAATATACAAGTATTTGAATGCCGTAACCATATAAAACACACAGTGATTTAAGCCGAATTCACTTCACACCACAAGATATTTAACGATGCAGACTATGAATTCACTGAACAGAATCATGTTAGAACTCATGTAGTCACCGACTGACTCAACTAATCCAATAAAGAGCAGCAGCTTTTTCTCTACCAGGCTTCCTTATAATAACAGCCATCCTGTCATTTTAGCCTCTGAAGTTAGGATCCGACAACACAAGCCATTTGTGTGCTCTGTCTGACCAACTTTCACGCAACAGCCATAAAACTTTGAAGAGTTAGCAATGCATCTCCTAGCAATCTTCAGGTGAAACTCAAGCACAAATGTATTTACTGTTCCTTCTGGCTGCTATCTCCTCCAGCGTTACGTGCTGTCTGCGCCTGAATAAGATACTGCCTCTGCAAATCCTTAAGTTTCTCCACTAGTTCTTGAAATGAAGGCCGGGATTGTGGCTCACTGAGTTGGACAAAACAGTAAGGTCGTTTATCAGCTCAGTTGAAAAGATGGTTTTTTTTATCAGTAAGATAGCAGTTTAGTTCAAATGATGAGTGAAGTTAACGTGACTAAAAGCAAAATGGTTGCCGCAAGGGTGTGACGTGGCATCCAATGAAGAAGGTGAAGACCATGAGAGGTAAGGGTTCAAATTCCAGTATAAACAAAAAAAACTATGTTATTTCTTCCTAGACTAAGTTTGGTAGGTAAAGGACCACCCTATGCTGGTGGAGGGTAGCAGGTAGTCGGCGAAATAGTCGAGCTGCACAAGCTGTCTCCAACGCCATAGTAATAGGAAAAATAATGATTTCTGCCAAATTGATCAAGTCGCTGGATAAGCTTATCTAAAAATTTAGTCGAGAGAATCAAATTCAGCCAATAATACTTATTAGTCACTTCTAAATAATATGCATTGGACTCCAACCTCCTTTTCCTAAAATGGTTTCATTCCTAACCATATTATTAAAACCTTCAATGTCACGGACATCAGTCTGGTTTGCTAAGGACTATTCCGCTATAACTTAAGAAGTCCTCCAAATGATGATAAGAATAATTCATAATCTTCAGCACATATTTTTGACATGAGAATATATTCCTCAAGGCTATTTTCTTCGACAAAACAAATTATGATGGAAGAATGAACAAAGATGCAAACCTATGCCAACAGCTCTCGATTATAGAAGCCCATTGTGGATTAACATTCTTCGGGATATCTAACCGCTGATTCATGAATCCTACAGCTCCAACCACCTGCAATCAACTCCAATAAGTTATTCTTTATGTACCATAATATGATGAAAAATTATCCATTTTTATCTTTTACTTTTTGTACACATAAGGAGCGGGCCCTCTTTACCAGGGGCGTAGGCACCTTGTCTTCGTCGAATCTTGTTTGTAAATATGTATGTATAGATAATAAGAAAAATAAAAATATTGGGTACAAATATAAAAATGACACCGCTTGCTGTAATAGTAAAATATTCATTTGTTCACTTTTTCAACTGTTGACACCGCTAATGATAATTCCTGGTATGCCACTGCTTTTCATCGACTTGAGCCAGAATCCAGATAACTGAATATTATAGAATGTTGTCCAAGTGTGATCTCAGGAAGATGAAAATACCTGCATTGAGTTGAGGCTATCCCAAGGGATTTTTTCGGTGGCAAGCTCCCATAGAATCACTCCAAAACTGTATACATCAGACCTAAATGCACATCCAAAGAAGGATCGATATCATCAAAATACTCAGGAATCTGCATAAAAATGATATTATATATATATATATATATCATAGATCACATACTTCTCATCTGCAGGTTCATTGCGAAGAACTTCTGGAGCCATCCATTGAGGCTGCAGGAGAGTTAAGGTAGGAAGTGATATAAGTCAGTTGAAGTTCAAACAACATAATAGGTGAACTAAAATAGTTCATATTGATATAGTAAGATAGAGAGTTCCTGAGTTAAAGCTGAATACCGTTCCTTTACCCGTCTTTGTTGCTAGATATGTTTCATGTTTAAGACGTGACAGACCAAAATCCCCAACCTATCGATATTTGCATGGTGAGAATTTTTTCAACGTATTAAAAACTCTGTAGTAATAGACATTCAGGAGATTGGTAAGAAAGAGAAAAAAAATGACGGTCAAATGAAATGAAGCCAAACCTTAACAGTCCAGTTCTTGTCCACAAGAAGATTTGAAGACTTCAAGTCGCGATGAACTATAGGAGGATTAAGATGATGAAGATAGTTCACACCACGAGCCTGAATGAAGCAGCAAAAGAGAAACATGATGGTTAACCTAAGAGACAAAATATTACAGTACTAATAGAAAGTATTAGATGATCAGTCACACATGAAGGAAAAAGGACAAAAGCAAAAAAGGAAAAGGAAAAGGATATGGGCAAATCCGCTAAAAATAATGGATGCTACTCTTGGTAATAGTTAATATAACTGGTATTACAGATCTCCTAGGAACTTACTATGTCTAAAGCCATATGGACACGTCGTCTCCATTCTAATTTGGATGAGTTCCTCTGTAATAGCCTGAACAAACTTCCCCTGCAATAACAGAAAAGGTGAAATGGTTTATCAGTTACACACGAACAAGACTGATGCAGTCACAAAGACTAGGAGCAAAACAACGTGAACAGGTTAATCAGTACGAAGAAGGAAGAGGATTTACCGTGGCAGGAACTCTGTGACAATGCAGAGGCGTTCAGGTGAAGTTACTGCACCCATGAAAAGAAGAATATTTGGATGTCGAAGTCGTTTCATAAGGGAAACCTTCAAAAAAAGTAAGCACAAGTCCCGTCAGAGATGCTCTCATTGTACTAATTAATAAGTGAAAAAAGCATTAAATCTAAGTCTCCATGCACTAATATTAGGCACAAGAACCTTTCCCAAGACGAATTATGCATGAGCCCTCTCATTGTAGAACTATTTTCTGTGGCAATTATCCTCTAATACAAAATCAGAAAGCAAGGAGGAACTCCAAGTGGAAGTTGATCGAAATTAATAGAATGCAAAAGATACGCTCAAGTTGAGCAGGACCAAGACGGAATACTTGGAGTGCAAGTTCAGCAACGGTACCCAGTAAGGGGATATGGAGGTGAGGCTTGAAGGCTTGATACGCAAGTCATCCCCAAGAGAGCTAGTTTCAAGTATCTTGGATCTATAATACAAGGTAGCGGTGAGATTTATGAAGATGTCACGCATCGTATCGGAGCAGGATGGATGAAGTGGAGGCTTGCTTCCGGTGTCTTGTGTGATAAGAATGTGCCGCTGAGACTTAAAGATAAGTTCTACAAGGTTGTAATTAGACCGACTATGTTGTATGGAGCAGAGTGTTGGCCGGTCAAGAACTCTCATACCCAGAAGCTAAAAGTAGCTGAGATGAGGATGTTGAGGTGGATGTGTGGGCATACCCGGTTGGATAAGATTAGGAATGAAGTTATTCGAGAAAAGGTGGGAGTGGCCCTTGTGGAGGATAAGATGCGGGAGCCAGGAGGCGAGGTTGAGATGGTTCGGGCATGTTAAGAGGAGAAGTATAGAAGTCCCAGTTAGAAGGTGCTAGCGGTTAGCCTCGGTGGGTAGCAGAAGGGGTAGAGGTAGGCCTAAGAAGTCTTGGAGAGAGATTATCCGGCGGGACATGGCACAACTGGAGCTGACTGAGGACATGGCCCTAGCCAGGAGGGTGTGGAGGTCAAAGATTAGGGTAGAAGGTTCATAGGTAGTCGAGCGTTTCTCTTTTTCTTACTCATTTTTTTTTTTTTTTTGATGACCGAGAAATCCGTCTGGGGCCGATCCTTTGGACCAACCACAGCCTTCGAAACTCGGTGGATAATGGGCCCGCCCCTCTACCCTTCTCCACTTAAATACCAGGCTTTGCTTTGCATGGTGTGGGGGTCTTACTCAGTTCGCTAGCATTAGTATTAGTATGTTATCTTTTATCCATAGATGGCTATTACTACCTAGAGTTTGACTGCATTCTTGGATTCAATCTTATTTCATCTTGTTGTTATTCCTACTTGCTGCAATTACCTTTTCTTTTTCAGTCGTTCTCTAGCCGAGAGTCTATTGGAAACAGCCTCTCTGCCCTTTAGGGGTAGGGGTAACTGGTAAGGCTGTGTACATCTTACCCTTCCAAGACCCTATTTGTTGTTGTTGTTGTAAAAGATACACTCAGAACTAATGGATGATGTGATTCTACAGACAAACCAAGACCCAAGCAAGACAACTCCAAGACAGCCAGCTCCCAATCGGTATACCTTGTTTAAGTGCATAGGGCTTCAAAAGTGATGTGGAGCGTAATGGCAGGGGGGTTAAGGACTTTGATTCTCTATTAGCATTTAACAAATAATTTTACCACTTTTTAACGTACTACTCTTACTGATATTTCAATTTCAACTACTACCTTGCCGTGTTAGTATAGACTTAGTTTTGCATTGTGAATTGTGATAGTTCTAATGAGCTAGGAAGACAGTATTTTTTTAAACACATTTAGCTCTCATCATTTGCAGATTTCTGTTCGCCTTAGCGCTGCATCAACTGGTTCATACACTAAGATAGTTCAAATTTTTCAGAAATCTCATTGATATAGAGCAAGCAAAAAGCTCTTCTTAGTGCTCGGTGAGTATCTTCCTGTTTTGTCCTCTTTAACCATTCAAGGCATATATTGACAATACATTGCTGGGTTCGAGTCATGCTGGAGGGGAAGTGTGGAAACACTATAGATCCTCCTAATTGGGAGGGAATATTTTGGAAAAACAAAAAACAAAAAAACTACGACTTAGTCCCAAACAAGTTGGGGTCGGCGATATGAATCCTCATTTCTTTCTTTAAGTCAACTCAATCATATCATCATCGTTACCAGAATCCAAGACCTTATTAGCAGTAAAATAACTGGAAAGGCCATCATTGTGACTGTCATATAGTTTAAAGTTCTATGGAGAAACAATACTCGATCAGGGGAAAAAAAGCATTTAATGACATATTTATGAGAAACAAACTAACCTCCTGTTTGAAAGAATATATCACTTCATCGGAATACTCTTGCTTGGAAAATACTTTAACAGCGACATCCTACACAACAAAGACACCATTATGCTTTTTGGATAAGCTAACGCATACAGACATCATAATGCTACAAAGGAGAACCAGGGCAGTCACCTTTTATCTGGGTGTTCCCTCTAGAAAAATAGCTAGTAGTAACAGTGTATGCGGAACCTCATGTAATATACAACACTAATACTGGCTTAGAGAAATACTTCGACATCATCCATATGAGAGGACCAAGAAGCCAGAATTTAGCCCTTGTGTTTCAGGCTATAAGCATAGGCTTCCGGAGCAAATGATACTTACAAATGTATATTTGAACAAACGATATGTTATACAATGACATCTAATCAACATTGTAGTATGTTTAGAAATACTTACAAATTATTGCTTATAAGATTCTTTCTGCGGAAAATTTAATGAACGGTAGAGGCCAAAAAACTCTTGGCAGAGAAAAAACAGTAACAAAAGAAGAGGCAAAGAACATACCGATCCATACCACAGCCCATGATAAACAGTTCCACAAGAACCTAGAGAAACACAGTTAAAAGGAAGTGAGAATGAAGAAGTAAAAGAGAAGGCGATAAAAATTGTCAATTACATAAGAATATCATAGCTATAAAACTGGTATGGATTATTCGTTGTGAAATTAACGTGTGCAGTTGACTACTAACTTCTGGATTTTGTGCACAATAGAAGCATCTATAATGGCTGGAAAATAGAAATTTAAAGTAAATTACATCCTTGCCTGATACCAAAAGATTCTATGATCAAGTTTGGAATAACTGATAGACTTGTTTTTGACAATTCACCTGTAAAAGGAATTCAGCATACCTTCTCCAATCTGTTCTCCAATTGTTAAGTCCTCCCACAAGATTTCGTAGTCCAGGCTGTCAGTATCCATGTCCACCTTATTAACAGCAGTACTGCTGGTGCTTCCAAAGCTACTAACGCTGCTTGTGCTGTTGACATTAAATGAAGACGACCAGGATCCAGTAGCTTCATTGGTGGTTGTCCGGTTAGTATCAATAAACTGATTCTCTGGTTTCAATGCATTATAACTGTTACTGCGATTCAACTCATTGTCTTGGTCATTGTTTAGCCAAGGCCATACAAATCGTGTAGTCCTTGCTTCTGACGCTTCTTGCTCGTTGCCTTTCCATGGCCACGATAAGCTCTTCCTCGCCATCCACGCCTCTGCCTTCAAGGTGATGATCTTAGAAATCCCTTGTTTGCCCTCACTCTCATCCCCAGAATCTCTTGAAAGATCAGAGAATACTCCAAAAGGAGAAGGGTGAACATCTCCCCTAGGCGTACTTGCTCCACTTGAGTTTGCATCCTCCCTGTGATCTGAGACTGAGAGAGCAGCCTCAGAAAATGCATGGTCAGAATAATGACTATCTCCACTTCCACCTTCACGAAGCACGATGCTCTCTCCTGTCTTTATTTTTGACTTAACCTTGTTGCTCACCTTTGAGGCCTATTATGAGGTTTCGACATGTCAGCATATTCGACCCTTGTATACACTATACAGACAGTAAAGGAAACCAAATGAAAGCAAAAGAAAACCAGGCAACTAACTAAACAAAAACAGTACTAACCAAATTAGATATTTTGGAGGCGATTGAAACTTGCAGAGGCTGCTGGGGATCATTTCCAAGTTTGGAAGAAGCAAGGGTTCTGGCTCTAAATCTTGTATCAGCTTCCAACTGCGTCACTCCCATCGATGCAAGACCTGTTTCTTGAAAAGGCCGCATATCACTCGATACACAAATAACACCGAGCAATGTACCATCATCATCATAAAAAGGGGTATCGGTAGCAACGACTACGAATCTATCCCCTCTCTTATTCTTAACTGGAAACTGTCCAGTCCAACTCTCACCCCTTAGCACTCGGTATACAATGTTATTAGCAATATCGTAATCCTGAGCATCTGTTAGGAGCTCAATGAGATCTTGTCCAAGAGCTTCTGCAGCAGAATAACCATATAGTTTTTCAGCGGTACGATTCCTGTGCAACAACGGCTCAAATTACATTCCTATATTGATAACACTGAACAAACATGACAAACACCAATCAAAGTCTAACTAAGGCCAAATAAAATGTTCTTACCTATTTGCACAAAGTTTTTAGTGTTCAATACTGCAACTATGGACTAGCCAACTAAGAAGTCAACTCAGATAATCACAGGACACAAGCTCAATCTCTCCAACCCTACTTCTTTTGAAAGGAAAAAATAAAACTGCAAAAGATAAGAAGTACATTTCAATTACTCACCAGTAAATTATATGACCATTGAGATCAAATATATGCACTGCTTGTCCCATTGACTGTAATATATTCAAATACTGTCTATCAGTAAATTTCACTGCAGCAGGGCTTCCACCATTATCATTGTCTCTCTCACCTTTACTACTACTCTCTCTTTGCAATGGTGACGAATGGCGGAAAGAGGTTGAACCCCTTTTCCACATAGCAGCACCACCATCAAAGCCACCACCACCGCCACCCCTAAGACGAGGCGGCCGTTGTGGTGAGATAGAGTGGGACCTTTGTCTATGTGATCTATGATCATCAGAAATCATGAGCTTAGATATCTCCTGCTTCATCTGGGCATGACCTGCCTCCAGTTCTTTAATCTTCTTTAACAGCTCCTCAGCTGGTGGTGTTGGTCCTTGAGCTGATGCTGTATTATTATTATTATTATTATTATCCATTTCAATCCAAGATTCCAAGATTGATCAAACCCCAACTTCAGATTAAAGAACCAATATGATATATCTATGACTAATTTCACTGACGCCCACTATTATATGTCTAAATAGCCATATACAAATCAATATCTGCAAACTTGCAGTGCATTTCTTGTTGAAAATGAATAAAAGGGTTGCCCTTTGAGTTCAAGAAACCACCTTTTTCAGCTCTCTCTCTCTCTCTCTCTCTAGGTATGGACCTATGACTAATTGTCTTGATACCCCCACGATATAACTGTTTCTATATAGCCATAAGAAAATCTATATTTACAAAATTGGAGCTCATTTCTTGCTAAAAATGCACACCCTTTGAGTTCAAGACACCAACTTTTCAGCTCTCTCTCTCTCTCTTCTTACTTTCTATGTATGGATCTATGACTAATTGCACTAAAACCCAACTATATTTTTTTCTATGTAATCATATAGAAATAAAAAAGGAGTTCATTTCTAGCTGAAAAATGCACATAAATGGACACCCTTTTCAGCTCTTTCTCTCTCTTCTTACTTTCTCTCCCCTCTTCTTTGTTTTTTTTTCTTCTTTCATTGCCTTCTTTTTCTCTCTCTTCATTCAACTTAATTACAGAATTTTTTTCTTTATAGCTATGACCGCCCAGTAGTTTTAACCCTACTCTCAAATGAAGAGCGTTTGATAAACGCGCTACAACAACCAATGATAATGATAATTTTGGACCTTATATGGTGGAGGATGTTCACGATAGAATTATGTGCGTGAAAATATTACTACTTACTTTTGTTTTTTGTTTTTTTTTTATTTGTTTGTTTGTTCTTTTCCCTTTTATTTTTCTTTTTAAGTTTTTATCAAATGTTCAATATTTCGCGACCGTAAAATTCATTAATGGGTAAAATATTCTATTAAAAAGAGTGAAGTCGTGAAGAAATGATATTCATCTCAACAATTTTTGAAAATTGAAATGTCTATTTTAACATTTTTACTTTGCTATACTTTTATAAGAATTGATATATTTGTTATGTATCTCATTGAAATGATTGTTATTATGTATATTTAACTTAGCATTGAAATTTTCAATTTTTTTCTTGAATGCATATAGTCAAATATTTATACTTGTTGTTGCTTTCATTTCGGCCTTCTGATTATAATATTCAGTTTTAGTTTTCTATCTTTATATTTTTGCGTCGATTTTATAATTGGTGTGCTTGTTGTTGTCTTTCCTTTATCTTTCTTAAACTGAGTGTCTTTCGGAAACATTCACTCTGCCTTCTTGAAAGTAGGGATAAGATCTGCGTACATACTATCCTCCCCAGACGCCACTTGTGGGATTACAATGATTTTATTTTATTTTTTTGTTATCTAGTCAAATACTTATAACAAATTAGGATGGAGGAAGTATATAAATCACAACCTTTTTCTTGCAGTAGTATTATTTTTTGTTAGAACAGAATAATTTTTAGGATAAGAAGACAAACATTAAAAAAAAAAGGAAATAGACAACCCCCCCCCCCCCCCCCGAAAAAAAATATCTTTAAGCAAATGTAAAGGTCTCGTATAGTAATAATAAAATAATTTTAAAAAAAGGCCTCATATAATTTAATTAGAGCTAAGTCCAACAAGAGTTGTCATTTATGAATGTACATTTAATTTGATTACGTAGAGTGCACCTAATTCCCAAATTAATGTTTCTGCCCACAGCAATGGAAATTTTTGTATATTAAATGGAAAAAACAAGAAAGGCAAAGGAAATAATAGAAGTGGTAAGCTGAGTAGATGGATAAAGTTTTGATAGTTCAACAAAGTTCTTAAAAGTTATGTCAAAGGTTGGATAAGATCATCAAAACGTATTTGTTGTGGGATGGATATGATCTGTCCACTCTTAATTTCAGGTTTCTAATTCCAACCGTGAGAGTAAATTTTATTTTTATTTTTATAGAGAATGTTTCCTTCTTGAATGAGCTTTGCGCGACAACAACAATAACATATCCAGTGCAATTTCACAAGTGGGATTTGAAGAGGACAGTGTATATGCAGACCTTATCTCACCCCTACCTTATAATATAGAGAGACTATTTTCGATAGGCAGGATAGTTATTCCGAAAAAATGACATTGTATAGCCGCTCTCAAAATAATAGCCGATATATATATATATATATATATA